AATGTATGGCGAATACAAATGCGACGAGATGCAGAGAGAGCAGATGGACCAATAGCAAAGCGTTTTCTGAGTTGAAGGATGTAGTGTGCTAAGAGACGTTTTTGGTTCAGGAATATTTGCATAATCGAGTTTTTGGTTCATTGTTTGTCACGGACGAATAGGAACGACGTTTTGGTTCGTAAGTGGATTTATGTTGCCTTGCCGTATCATTACGATGCATACGAGCAGGGGGGCTGTTAGATATACTCGTAGCATAGTAATGTGGTTGAGTATGGGACATGGATCTACGGAGATTGCAGTTGGTAGATCGCGGAGGAACAGGGAGTTTCTGCTTGGTTTCTTCGGAGATTCGATGAGTGATCTGAATTGCGTGACGGATAGGTGTGGTGACGCACTCTTCGGCTGCTCGGCCTCGAGTGGTCTCTGCCCTTCCCTCTTTCCTCTAATACAAGACTTTCCCATCTCGGCCCTCACTGGCCGAGCTGCCTTTCTCCACAAACCTACAAGCTTCGGCCTACCCGGTTTATCCAACATCTAAATTGTGCCCCAGAGTTTCCGTTCTTTAGAACCTCACCTGTAAATACCGAAATACTACACAGCAGTCTCGAAATCAACAGCCTGGCGCGCGGTAACCGAGGCTTCAATAGGTGGTGATTTGTTGGAAAGTGGTTGCGTAGCCTGGCGTAGGTAACGAGGACTTCAGGCGATGATGTTTGGATAACTGAAACCGTACCCACAGAGAGCACTTGGCAGGTGGTCGGATTATCACATGGGTGAGGTGGTGGCAACCAGCAGCGCCGCATGTTCGAAATCCGAACCGAAAGAAAAACGAAATCAGCGAACAGCCCGCGAACCGAACCCGAACTTCTGACCATTTGCGGCTGCTGCTGCTCTCCACTCTGGCTACTCCCATCACTAATCCCTCGAGCGCCATTGTAATGATATTCTGGGACACAAGCTGCGAAGGCATAGAGAAGGCACGATGCCATACAGCAAAGCAGCAAAGGTATCTCCCATTCTCCCATCTTCCTTTTTCTGCTCCCATCGTGTAAGTTCTCAAACTCCCCAACTTCTTTTTCATCCGTTCCTGTTCGGTTTTTCGTTTGCGAGCACGGATCCTTGAATCATTGAGTCAAACTCAAACAGTTCTTTTGTTGATGGTGTCGTCCGATGCAGTCATGTTTATTTCCTTTATTTTTTATATTTCATCTTCAGCAGTATAGACAGACCCAACGAATCCATCTCTGTCGAAGAAAAGAGTCTAAGTAGCATGAATACGTAGTAGTCTAAGTCTAGAGTCAGCGAGGGTTCTGTTTTTTGTTTTTTCACCATTTTCCCGAGGAGCACACAGCAGCAGTGGTAGTAGTCTAGTGATATCTCCCCCGTGGGTTGTAACATGTTTTCGTCCGTTTCTGTGTGGGGGCAGCCTAGCTTCCGTATGTAAAAACCTCCCTCCGGACAACTCCGGAGTGGGGAGAACGCGGCAAGGAAGGGGGGGAGGGGTCATGAAAGAACATCGGAAAGAAAGGTAGATAAAACAAAAAGAAGATACAGCATAGATAGCTAGAGACTATAATCTAGTCTAACGTAGTCTAATCATAGAGGTCCTCCCTGTCGACAGCAGTAGGTAGTAGTGCCGGCGCCGGGGGTGTGCGCTGAGATTTCACCGGCAGTAAAGCACGCCAGCACTACAGCAGTACTTTCTTCCTTGTCTTCCGCTTTGCGGGGCCAATAGAGCACCACGTGATGAACCGTAAATGGTGAGATTGTGGTGTGGGCAGCGTGATAGGCAGACTTTGCCACGATACGTGTGTGTCTGTGTGATTCCTATATGCATATCGGTGGAACACATGGATTTTGATGTGGATGGGACAGATACAGTATGTTGCACAGTTTCTGCTCTATCTACCCGCGTGAACACCCCCGTGCTGCTGCAAACCCTTCAATTGAAACCCTTCACATGAATACTAGAAGAAGACTGACCGGGGCGGGGTAATAGTTTTTTTCGGTTGAAAAACAGTACTTCCAGCTGTAGGCTCGCGGGTTAAGAGGGGGGTGGTGGTGGTATTCATCATCAGCTGGAGAAGGGGGCCGGGGGTGGTGGTGTTCATCATCATCAGCTGGAGAGGGGTGTGTGTGTGTGTACTCATATAGTTGTGCATGCCGTAGTCGTCACTTGACGTCGCATCCCTACGAAGCCGGCACGAAGCACGCCGGGTTCTCACCGGACCAGGCTCTCACATCACCAAGCGCGAAGCGCCGTGAGATATTCGGCGAGTCGCATGAAGGGTGCGCTGCATCCTGCTAAGGGTGTTCGGCATCTTGTGCTTACTTCCTTGCGTACGGATGACAGCTGCGTATGAATTAATTTATTTTCTGGTGCTTTCACTTCCAGAGACAGTTGTAAGCACTGTGTAACTGCCTCGAGGGTGCTTGACCATTTTAACACAACGTGGTGCGATCATCCCCCTTGCGCGGAGTGAGGGTTCTCCACCCCGCACAACATGATCTACTCGACCACCATTATGGTTACCGCCAAAAAAAAAACCGGAGGTAAAAAAAAAAAAACGGTAACCTGGTTGCCGAGTTCACGAAGTGAATTGGCTTGTTTTACAACGTCTTTGCCAAGCGACGAAAACCCAATCCCGATGGCAAACACCGGGGGGGGCGGCTTGTTTTACAACGTCGTTGCCAACCGACGAAAACCCAACCCCGATGGCAAACACCGGGGGGGGCGGCTTGTTTTACAACGTCGTTGCCAAGCGACGAAAACCCAACCCCGATGGTAAACACCGGGGGGGGATGTCAAGTGGGGGGGATGTTTTCATCAGCTAGCGCAAAAAAACTACCCTCCTCTCTCTCTGGCTCGAGCTTTGATACGGGAACTTAAAAGCGTGTGGTGGGTGACCAGACTAGCACGGAAGGCGCAGGTGGCACCCTAAGCCCTCGCGCAAAAGTAAGTAGAGAGACGTTTACAGCATGCAGCAGCACATGCGTCATCAACGAACGGTGGTTCTATGCAGCGTGTTGGTGTGCCTCTTTCTGTCCTCTCTCTCGCTGATGACAAGAAATCCGGTCAAAATGCTCACAAACACAGCCAAACTCTCCTTCTCTCCTCTCGCCTCCTCCGCCGATAGCTGACAGCAGTATAGAGGGCACACCCTCCCGCCTTGCTCTCCCGGTGGTATGTGTGCGAATCCCGCCCCCCATGTCCATGTTCGCTGTTTCTGTGTAGTTTGTCTTGCCACAGCAGCGGCAGTAGCTGCCGAGCACACAGCAGCAGGTAGAACCAAAAAAAGATCGCCTGCCTCGGTTTTTGGGCGGGGACGCTTGCTTCCCGACTTCAGGTTCGGCGCAGATACCTTCGTAACTCGACGCACCGACAACAGATTGAAAAGGTAGCAGTTGGGAAAGCTCGGGCAAAATATTGCTTATTGTGCGCAAGTCTTAGCTTGCAATTTGGTGCCTAGGGGATGAAATGGGCTCCAGTCTGCTGGACTGTTTTCGGACGGACAGACACAAGACAGAGGCATGGCTGATCCCCCCCCCCCC